AAAGAAAGAAAGAAAGAAAGAAAGAAAGAAAGAAAGAAAGAAAGAAATTAATGCCCTTGCACCCTGCTCCTTTTCTGCCAGGTTATCTGACCCCAGGCCATGGACTGCTCACTTAGGGATGTATATACAAGGTAATGCCAAGTTTGTCTCTCCAGTGAGAAGAATTGTGGTTCATGAGTACTATAATAGCCAAACCTTTGACTATGATATTGCCCTGCTGCAGCTGAGCACTGCTTGGCCTGAAACCATGAAGCAGTTAATTCAGCCAATATGTATTCCTCCCGTTGGACAGAAAGTGCACAGTGGGGAGAAGTGTTGGATAACAGGCTGGGGACGAAGGAATGAAGCAGGTGAGCAAGCACTCATTCATTGCCCCCTTCCCCCACCCAGAACTGTTCTCCTTCAGCACCCTGAGCAGAATGATCCAATATACACACTGATAGCCCTTCCAAAACCTTAGCGTCCCAGTTTATCAGCCTACTCAAATCCCATGACCTACATCTCTATTCCATTTCTGCCTCCCACAGTGATGATTATACATTAGATATTGCCATCTTGCATAACTTCCACCCCCTTGGTCAACTCTGAAGTTCCTTCTCTCATAATGACTTATCTTCCTACTCTTCCTCTCCTTTACTCATTGTGTTAAAATCTATCTTGTTCAGATACCCCTGACCACTCCCTCTCCTTCTAGTCAGTAAGTTTTAGCAAGACATGAGATTTGCAAAGGGAAATCTGGAAGTCATGTATAAACCATCCCAAAGATCAAAAGAGCATAATTTACAAATTGCATTATATATTAACTAAGGTTCATATCCTGGTAATATGTGCTGAATCAAGGGAAACCCATCTACATGCTGCTTGTTAAAGCTTCTGGTCCTGTGATATATAAATTCCATACAAAATCCAGACCTTCATAGCTCCAGACCAGCAGAACATGAAAAAATGCTGATTTGAGATGATGACTTTGAAGTTTCACTGATAACTTTGAGAAGATTCAGACATGTTAATGAACTTACTCCAACGTGGCACAGATATGAGCTGCTCTGTTTTTTCCAAAAAAACTGTAAAAATGAGACCTCAAACTCCTCCTCCCACCACCCTGAGCTCCCAATTCTAATCCATGGTCTTGTGAGTAATACTCTCTGCCTCTTCCCATCCCTAGCCTACTCCCCACACTGCCTGCCTTCACTATCCCATTCCTCTGTTCCTGAGCTGCCTGCTGCCTCTGCACCATTTCTGTTGCTCGTCTCTGCCTTATTAAAATACAATTGCTGCCTGTTTCCTACTGTCAATCATAGTCTTTCCTGGCAAGTACCCAAAGAACTGAGTGTGCCTGCCCCTATTTCATAATTTTATAATTTAATTATCAAATCACTCCTCCTAAACTTATTCTCCATCATCACCACAATCCTAATTCCTTTCACTCATCCCTGTTTTCTTAGGTCATCACTCCTGTGCAGTCTTTTCTTTACAGTTCTGACCTTATAGTTATACAGTCTTTTACACTTGAGTCTTTGGCCCCTTTGTTCTATCACTATCCCTGTTTTCCCAAACCTCAATCCTGAGTTATTTCTAGTAGACAGACAGACAGACAAACAGGTAGATAGAGAGATAGATAGATAGATAGACAGACAGACAGACGGACAGATGGATAGATAGACAGACAGATGGACAGATATAGATAGATAAATAGACAGATGGACAGATAGAAAGACAGAAAGGCAGACAGATAGATTGATAGACAGACAGATGGACAGATGGATGGATGTATGGATGGACAGATGGACAGATGAATGGATAGATAGACAGACAAACAGATAGATAGACAGACAGATAGAGTATTTATTAAATGCTATATACCAGGCATAGTTCTCCACTATTCATCTTCTCTGTTATTACATGCTATTCAATACAGATAGTAGTTGTAGTTGAATGGAATGCCAGACTTGGAGTGAGGAAGACCCAGGTTCAAATCTCATTTTAGGAACAGGCTATGTGACTTCAGGCAAGTTATATAACCTCTTTTGGCCTCGATCTCTCATTTGTAAAATGGAGAGTTTGGACTAAGTGACCTTTTAGGTCCCTTTCAGTTTTAAATCTTTGATCCAGAATTCATATAACAATGCCACCTAGATCTACTCCAAATTTGTGTTATCTAATCTTAACTGAGCTGGGGATACAAAAAGAAGCAAAAGACAGTCTCAGCCCTCAATAAGCTTACAATCTAATGGGGGGTGGAGACAACATGCAAACAAATTTATACAAAGCAAGCTTTGTAGAGGCTAAGTAGGAAATAATTAAAAGGGGAAAAGCACTAGAATTAAGAGGGATTAGGGAAGGCTAGAAGGTGGTATTTTAGTTAGGAGGTCAGGTCAGGTCAGGTCCATAGTCTAAACAGAAGAGGTAGAGTTCCAGGAGTTCTACTTCTATTTCTTTTTGTCTAGAATATTGCAAGAACCTCTCAATGGATAGACCCGTTTCTAGTCTCTTTACTCTCCAATCCATCCTTCATACAGTTGCTAAAACAATTTTCTTAAGACACATATTCAATCGTGTTACCTCCCTGATCCTCCCAGGTTTTTATTGCTCTTCCCTTGCTTTTTTTTTCCAATTCAGGAAGTGTTTATTGAGCACCTACACTATACTAAATGCTGGGGATACAAAGAAAGGCAAAACACAATACCTGCTTTCAAGGAGCTCAGTCGAATGGAGGAGACAACGTGAAAAATCTATGTACAAATAAGATATACGGAGAATAAATAAGAGATAATCTCAATAGAATATTTGTTCTGTCCATCTAGGACACACATTTGCATAAATGTACTTTAGGAGAATGCCCATAATAGAGATCATACATGAGGGGGCATACAGATAACGTGTTTACTAATCTCTTCAATTCTCATGACCTATACTTTCATTCTACACATAGGACATATCAATCATGTCCCCTTTCTCTGAGCAAAACACAATGAGAGGGGGCAGCTAGGTGGTGCAGTTGGTAGAGCACTGGCCCTGGAGTCAGGGCCTGACTTCAAATCTGGCCTCAGACCCTGGGCAAATCACTTAACCCTGTTTGTCTGAGTTCCCTCAACAGTAAAATGAGCTGGAGAAGGAAATGGCAAACCACTCCAGTATCTTTGCCAAGAAAACCCCAAATGGGGTCATAAAGACATTACTAAAATACTAAACAACAACAACCTTTGACCCCAGAGCTCTGGATTTTTCTGGGGGACCATAGTGCTTACCATCCTTACTTACCGTTTCCCATCTCTGGGTTAGAGTAAAAAAAAAAAAGAACCATAATGAGAGGTCTCTGAAAGGTCTCCTATGCCTTCATCTGACATTCAATCCTGGGCTACCCAAAGTTGCCCCTCCACCCATGATTTCACTTGGTATAGAGGCTTGGTATAGCCTCTCTAACAATCCCCATCCCTGCCTGCTCCTTAATTTGGGACTAATCTGCCAGGAATCTGTAGTGTCCCTCCCCCCCTCCCCCATACTCCAAACACACACAATTTCAGCATGTGGGGCACAACCTTTACTGCCTAAATCTGGCCCTATATTTGCTAGACAATGTACATTCTTATTTCCCACCAGTAGAATGTAAGCTTCTTAAGAAAGTGTGGTATAACGAAGTGATGGACTTGAAATCAGGAAGACCTGTACCTCTGATACTTACTAGCTGTGTGACACTGGTCAAGTCACTTTACCTTTTTGAGTCTCCATTTCCTCATCTGTAAAATGGGTATGATAATAGCACCTATCTTACAGGGTTTTCCTGAGGATCAAATGAAATAATATCTGAAAAGCACCTCACAAACTTTTAAAGTGCTGTATAAATGTGAACTTTTGAGCACTAGAATTGTAAGCACTGATCTTAGAGGTGACTGAAAGCTTTTGTAGGAACATAGAATTAGAGCAGAAGGGATCTCAGTGGTAACCTAATCCAGTCACTTCATTTATACATGAAAACTTGAGGCCCAGAGAGGTTCCCAGGTAGTGAGTGACAGATGCAGGATTTGAACATAGGTCCTCTGGTTCCAAAGCCAGCATTCTTTGCAACGTACCATGCCACAGTCCCTTTGATCTCCCAGGCCCACCAGTGCCCTTTGTTGTAATTTTCAAAGGCTTCAGGATGAATGACCTGGGAGATGTGGGCCTAGAACCTCGTTCTGGTGTTTCACTGTTTGATACTCTTTAAACACAGGCAGCAGGCACTTTTCCCAGTACTCGGTTTTCCCAGTTGCTAAATAGAGACAAAGATAGCTAGGTGGCACAGTAGATAAAGTGCCAGGCCTGGAATCAGGAAGATCTCAGTTCAAATCCAGCCTACTAGCTATGTGACCTTGAGCAAGCCACTTAACCTTGTTTGCCTCAGTTTCCTCATCTGTAAAATGAGCTAGAAAAGGAAATGGCAAATCACTCCAGTATCTTTGCCAAGAAAACCCCAAATGTGTCATGAAGAGTTGGCCATGATTGAAACAACTCAACAACAGCACTTACATATCACTTTAAAAACGAGACTTCATACTCCTGCCCCTGAACCCTCTTTAATTTGCATTGAGTCCATGCTGCTGAATGTTCACAACTCTAATCAGTCGTTACATGAGGACATTGTGTTCATGGGCCCTTCTTAAATTTTTTTTTTTGTTCAGTTGTATCTGATTCTTCATGATCCCATGGACCATACTGTCTATAGGGTTTTTGTGGCAAAGATACTGGAAAAATTTGCCATTTTCTTCTCCAGTGGATTAAGGCAAACAGAGGTTTAGTGATTTGCCCAGGGTCACACAGCTAGTAAGTGTCTGAGGCCAGATTTGAACTCAGGTTTTCCTGACTCCAGGTCTGGTGTTCTAACCCCTGGACCACCTAATTGCCATCTTAACTTTTAGGTCGACAAGTGATTCTAACCAATAATTCTAAGGTGAAAAAAGAGGGGTGTGTGTGTATGTGTATTTTATTCTTGTCTCCTACTTTCCACCTTTTTTTTTTCCCAGATAGCAAAGGCTCCACGACTCTGCAGCAAGCTGAAGTTGAGCTTATAGACCAAACTGTATGTGTTTCTACGTATGGAATTGTGACTGCCCGGATGCTTTGTGCAGGTGTAATGTCTGGGAAGAGAGATGCTTGCAAAGTAAGTAATCAAAGTTCCTCTGTCTCAGAGTACACTACTTTCTGAGGCTTATTAGCATATTCTAACCTCCTTCAGAAGACTATGAAGTGACCTGGGCAAGAGTGACCCTTGTTACTGGGGACTAGAATTTCATTTTCCTTCTTCTAGTCCAGTGTGTTTCCCTTTATTGTTTTGCTGTTCAGTCGATTAGTCATGTCCAATTCTTTGTGACCCCATTTGGGTTCTTCTTGGCAAGGATACTGGAGTGATTTGCCATTTCTTTCTCCAGCTGATTTTACAGATGAAGAAACTGAGCCAAACAGGGTTAAGTGACTTGCCCAGGGTCACACAGCTAGCGTCTTAGGCCGGATTTACATTCAGGTACTCCGGCCTGGTGCTTTATCCACGGAACCACTTAGCTGTCCTTTATACCTTACTATTTTTTCTGTTCTTAGGTGACATGACAAAGCTAAGATACAGAGAGATCAAATGATTTGCTTGATTTCATACAACTTAGCACCGAACTGGAACTAGAATTCTTGTCTCTTAACTTCTAGTTCAGAGATGTATCTTTTTTCCTTTACGCTACTTTGTTTCTGATCAATCAATCAACAAATTATTAAGCACCTACTATGTACCAGACATTGGGTGCTAGGATGTTGGAGAGATTGGCAGCATTAGACTTTGATTTTCTCACTCAGTCTAAAGATGGAAAAAGGCTAGAAATTGCATAGTTTATCTGTACATGCTAGGACGTTTCTTAAGAAATCTGTCTGTTCCCTTATTAGAAGCTTCTTAGTGCTAAAGTGCCCTTTATACTAAAGAACATAGTTCTGTATCAACTCTGAATCATGGTTAATGCAGGTAGCTGTATGCTAACTTTCCAAAATTAAATAGATGTGTGACCTTAGGCAAGTCATTTCATTTCTCTGGTCCTCAGTTTACTTCCTTTATACAACGAGGTGAATGAATTATATCTAGATAAGATTCCTTCCAACTTTAATATTCCATGATTCTATAAACGTTACTCCTATTGGTAAATTATGGTTCCCTCCCCTAGGGACAGGCAGGACCAAAGCAGTGCTCTAGGTGTTCATTCATTCATTCCATTTATTACAATTAGATAGGAGTAGTTGTTTCTGGGAATGAAAGGACACCCTGGCTGGGCCCATAGACACTGAGGCCATTGGGGACACATCAGAAGAATAGTCCCCCTGAGCCTTACCTTTCTGGTTAACGCAGGCTAGTCCCAAGGAGACTTGGAGAGAGAAGAGAAGGCCTAGCAGGTAGTTGTCAGAATGGAAGGGGAATGTTTCACAATGCCTTAACTCCTTTCTCTACATGACCCCAATTACCATACTCTTGAAACTCACCTCAGATAATTCTATTGGCATGCAAGGAATGGGCTGCCGACACTAGATCTCGGGGTCTCAGTCTAGGAGAAAGAACACAGGATCAGAAGACCCAGATTCGAATTTGGGTTCTGCCAGTTACTATTGGTGGAAATTTGGGCAAGTCACTTAACTACTCTGATTCTTAGTTTCTTCATCTGTAAAAAAATTAGATTTTCTCTCAAAATTCTAAAATCCTTCTACCTTCTGACTTTAAAGTGATATTGGCTCAGATGGCAGACTTGATTAATTAAGTATATTTGGTGTAATGAAAATACCTGAAGCTAATCTGAGCCTAATTTTCTCGCTATCCACAGTGACCATAAATCAGGTACACAAATGAAGGGAGGAAAAGTTGCCTTATGCTATTGAGACAGGCTTAATTTCTGAGTTTTCACAACCTTAGGATCCCATAGAGTTACAATAATTCAATTCTCCTACAAAGAATCAAATACAATGATGATTCAAATACTAGATGATTCACAATGCTAGAACAAACATTCCAGAATAAGGATTGAGCCTGTAATTTCATTGGTATAGGCAACTCCCCCTACCAATGCTGATCACCATTTTCTCTACAGTTTGTAATCTTAGGGAGCTGTCCCCAGCACTGAAAGGTTAGGTGACTTGGGTGAATGGCCCCAGGCCATTCCGGCTTTGAGGTCAGTTCTCTATCCACTATCTCATGATGCTTCTGACAGCAAGAAGTTCATATATTCATAATCACCTGAGCCTTAATACTGGGGAGATGGAAACTCAAATCTCCTAAACACCAAGTATCTTCAGTTGAATGAGCCTGCCATCAATGTCACAAACAAACATTGACATTTAAAGGTTCATTTTCCTTCCCGACATTTCAGTGACACATCAAGAAACTGTACTAGCCAAGAGTAATGTGGTCAAAATAATGCCTAAACTAGGTTACTTTTGAAATAAATGCTCTTAAAACATTAATAAAAGGCGCAGCTAGGTGGCACAGTGGATAGAGCACCAGCCCCGAAATCAGGAGGACCTGAGTTCAAAGCCAGCCTCAGGCTAAACACTTGACACTTACTAGCTATGTGACCCTGGACAAGTCACTTTAACCCCAATTGCCTAAAAGTAAAAAAAAAAAAAATACATTAATAAAACAACTAACAATTACTTGTGGGACAAATGTGACTGACACAGACATGATCTTGTTGCAGGGGGATTCGGGTGGACCCTTATCATGTCAAAGAAAAAGTGATGGAAAATGGATTTTGACTGGCATTGTTAGTTGGGGACGTGGATGTGGAAGAGCCAACTTTCCTGGTGTTTACACGAGGGTGTCAAATTTTGTTCCCTGGATTCACAGATACGTACCTTCTCTTTTATGAGTCTGGGTATGATTGCCCTGGAATTTTGAATGTGCACTATGTGAGAATACCATTAAAACGATTTAGTAATTACTAACGGCACATGTCCATTTTTCTTCAGGAAATGTCATAGAGGGCGGGGTAACAAGCAGTTTTATTCAAACAGGATTTTCCTGTAGGCATTCATTTATTCACTAACTCTTTCATGCAATAAGCATATATTTAGTACTTATTGTGTATGAGGCACTATGATAGATACTAGGACTAAAATGATAAATAGGACACAGATCTTATTGTCAAGGAATCTATCACCTCCCTGTGTACATGTACACTAGTAATTATGATATGAAAGCTCCAAGTAAGTGGCAAGGAGCAGTTTAGGCAAAGTGCTATCAGAAGAGGTCACTTTTCACTTTCACAGGAGGCACCAGGGAAGCCTTCATGGAAGAAGTGCTACTCGAACTGAGGTTTTACGCATGTGTGTTTGTGTGTGTGTGTGTGTGTGTGTGTGTGTGTGTGTGTGTGGCAATTGGGATTAAGTGACTTGCCTAGGGTCACACAGCTAGTAAGTATCATGTGTTTGAGGCTGGATTTGAACTCAGGACCTCCTCATTCCAGGGCTGGTGCTCTATCAACTGTGCCATCTAACTACCCTGCAAGGTATTTCTTATAGCACAACAGTATTCCATCACAATCATATACCACAAGTTTTTCAGCCATTTTCCAATTGACGGGCATCTGCTCAGTTTCCAAGTGTTTGCTATCACAAAAAGAGCTGCTATGAATATTTCTATACAAATAAGTCCTTTTTCCTTTTCTTTGATCTCTTTGGGGTACAGACCTAGTGGTCGTATTGATAGGTCAAAGGTATGTACAGTTTTATAGCCCTTTGGGCATGAAAGATATTTCTGAGGTAGAATCAATAGAACTTTGTAACTGATTAGACATATGGGATGGGAGGGGAAAGGTGTGGAGAGACAGAGCTAAAGATACAGAGAGAGAGAGAGACAAAGAGACAGACAGAGAAGACAGACAGACAGACACACACACATACACACACGACTAAGGACAAAATGTGGAAGACATCCATGCTCAAGGAGTAAAAGGAAATTGCCGAAGGAGACAGAAAAGTGGTCACAAAGAGGAAAGACATGAGAATGTCAGGAACCAAGGAAGGAAGGGGTATCAGGAAAAAGAAGGAAAAAGAAGACATGATTCACTGTGTCAAATGTTTTTACATAGATTAGAACACAAAAGGAGCTATTGGGGTCAATGATAAGTTTTCCAGGGACCTTCAAGAGAGCTATTTCATTGTGGGAGAGGGAGAGGATGGAAACCAGATTGTAAGGAGATGAGTTTTGAGGAGTAAGTGAGTAGTGAGGAAGTAAAGACAGTTAAGTGTAAACTATTCCCTCTAGAAGTTCATTCTGAAATGGAGAAGAGAGATTTGGCATGACAACTTGAGAGTAGCAGGGTCAAAGGAACTTTTTCTTTTTTTTAGGCAGCTGGGTAGTGCAATGGGTAGAATGTTGAACTTAGAGTCAGGAAAACCTAAGTTCAAATCCTGCCTGAGACACATACTAACTTTGGGCAAGTCATTTAACCTCCCTCATCCTCCATTTCCTCATCTTAATAGGGATAATAATAGCACCTATCTCTTTGGGTTGTAAGGATTAAATGAGATGTCATATCTGGAGCATTTTGGAAACAAAGTACTATATAAATGCTAATTATTATCATCATCATCATCATTATCATCATTAGGATGGGAGGAGGCCCGTGCATGTTTGTAGGCAGATAGGAAGAATCATTTAACAGTCATAGAACTGGAAGAGGGCAGTTAGGTGGCACAGTGGATAGAATGCTGGGCATGGATTCTGGAAGACTCATCTTCCTGAGTTCAAATCAGACCTCAGAAACTTATTAGCTATGTGATCCTGGACAAGCCACTTAACCTTGTTTGCCTCAGTTTCCTCATCTGTAAAATGAGCTGGAGAAGGAAATAGAAAACCATGACAGTATCTTTGTCAAGAAAATCCCAGTTGGGGTCAGGAAGAGACTGAAATGACTGAACAACAAAAATTTGGTCTTTTGATAGTGTGTATTTTCAGTTTTTGAAAGTATTCCACTATTTTTTTTTTGTGTGTTCTTAGTTTTGTTGGCATATAATTATGTATAGTATGTTTTTATTATTCTTTTTTATTTCTACTGGCATTATTTAGATTTCACCTTGCTCATTTCTTATTTTATTGATCTGATTTGCTCTTTTCTTATTTTACATTAGCTAAAGGTTTATTCATTTTATTAGTCTTTTCAAAGAACCAGTTATTAGTTTTATTTATCATTTCTATTTTTTGTTTCCAATTTATTTCTCTTCTAATTTTCAATATCTTTTCTTTTGTGCTGATTTTATGTTTATTTATTGGTTTTCTATTTTTTTAATGCTATATAGTTCATTAATTCTTACTTTTTCTATCTTGTCAATGTGTGTTTGTAGAGATATGATTTTTCCACTGAGGAATGCTTTAGCTGCATCCTAGAAATGTTAGTATGTTGTTTCACATAATAATTTTATTTTATATAATTATTAGTTGTTTCCATATTTGTTTTTTGACACATTATTTAGGATTCACTGTTAAGTTCAATCTGAGTTCATGTCTTTTGTTTGTGATCCCTGAAACAATGGCTATTTTTATTGTGTTATGGTCTGTAAGGGCTGTATTAACCATTTCTGCCTTTTTGCATTTGTTTGTAATATCTCTGTGCCCAATACATGGTCAATTTTTGTAACAGTTCCATGTGGTGTTGAGAAAAATGTATTTTTTTTGTGTCTCATTTCAAAAACACCATAAGACTTTTAGCTGTAGTTTCTCCATCAATTTGTTCAGTTTCATATTTTCTGCTTTTTTTAATCTTTCTGTTTCATATAGCCAAAACTGAGAAAGGGATATTGAAGTCTTCTATTACTATTTTGTTACTGTCTATGTCTTCCTGCAGCTCAGTTAATAATTCCTTTATGAATCTGAATGCTAAGACATTTAAAGCATATAAATGTATAACTGATACTGGTTTGCTGTCTATGATTCCTTTCAGCATAACTTAGTTTCCTTCTTGGTACCTTATTTTTTTAATGTTTATGTTTAATTTTTCACATAGCATGATTGCATCTCCTACTTCTTTGGATTTGCTTGATGCATAATAGACTTTTTTCTATCCCTTTAGTTTTATTTTTTACATGTCTTTGTTTTTCTATCTATCTATCATTTTTTTCATTTTGTTAGATTATTTAATCCATTCACATTTACAGTTATGAGAATTAGGTTTGTATTTTCTTCCATTTGTTTGAATATTTTTTCAAGTTACAATTTTCCTCTCATTTGCTGTAAATACAGTACTATATCTCTTCCGTTAATATACTTTAATCTTTCTTTCTTTCTTTTTTAACATGTCGCTATTCCCACTAGCTCTCTTTCCCTCATCCTCAATCCTCCCTACCTATCTTTTATCCTTTCTCTTTGGAGTTTTGATTATTAGCTCCTTTGTCTTTCCTTATTTTATCTGATTATTTGATTCTTCCCCCATCTTCTTTCCTCTCAGTCAGTAGATGTCCCCCTCTTCTCCTCCCCTTCAACTAGTCCTATTCATTATTTTTAAATTTTCATTTTTTTGCACATCTTTGCAGCTAGGATTTCTCTTCTTTACTCTCTTCCTTTTCCATCATCTCTCTGTCTATTCTGAACTCCCCTTACCTGGTTAATGATCCTGTTCTTATCTAGTCTTTCTATATTCTCTACATTCCTTATGGAGTAAAAACTTCTGAGGTGTCCATTACTTGATGCACAGTAAATTTTAAGCAGTTCTTTCTCAGGCCTTGTAGAGTTTGTCCAATGAATTTCCTTTTTTTCATTGTGCCTCCCTCCCAGAAAAATATCAATTCCTGCAGATGACAGAAAGGGCACTGTTCAGGACCTCTCCACTCCACACCCCTGATTGTGCTGTCTACCTCTGACCTTGGTAAATTCTTCCCCATTTTCCTCAAAATTTCCTATTTGGGCCTTCTTCTCCTGCTCTCCCAGGCTCCAGTTGCCCCTAGGAGTTCCAACTCCCTCCCTCTGGAGGCAGATCAAATGGTCTATTCAAGTACCAAATACCCACAGACAATACCCAGTACTTGGTCCCCATTTCCCCTCACAGAACATCTCTTCACCCACAGGAGCATTCAACAGTGGAGCTCCCTTTCGCCATCAAAACAAGGCCTCCCTCTTTCCCCTTTCCAATTTCTCCCACGCCCCTCTTTCTCACCTGTAGGTTCTCCTCTTCCTGAAAGTCCACAGGGATCACACTCCCCTCACTGCTAGCCCTCGACTCGACCTAGGCACATCACCCTCCTCTCTCCCCCCGAAGCTTCCCTGCACCCTGCCATTTTGTAACATAGAAGACATTGATTCACCTGCAGGTGAAGTGTTGTGACATTCTTTCCATGACGCCCTAGGGCCACTCGCCTCCACCTGACTATGGCCTTCACCCTCTCTCTTTGTACACATTCAGAAAGAGGTCTCTTACTAATTTCTCTGCCATCAATCTGTTGCTGCTGCTGCTTTTGGCTGCTGCATTCATCTATCTCTCTCGAATTTCTACTGTCTGAGAGGTTCAAAAAGCAAATAATCTCTTTAGGCCTGCTTTTCTTTCTAAGAATATTTTGGATATCTCCATATTACTGAACATCCATCTTTTTTCCTTTGCAGTTAAACTCAGATTTATAGGATAGTTGACCAAGGTCTATACCAGGATCTTGGAGGCCACGTGTGGCCCTCTAGGTCCTCAAGTGTGGCCCTTTGGCTGAATCCAAACTTCACAGAACAAATCCCCTTAATAAAAGGATTTCTTCTGTAAAACTTGGACTCAGTCAAAAGGCCGAACCCAAGGATCTAGAAGGCCACATGTGGCCTCGAGGCTGCGGGTTCCCCACGCCTGGCCTACACCCTCAGTTCCACAGTTCTTTGAAATGTATAATTCCATTGCCTGCTGTGTTTCCTGGTGGATGCAGAAT